CTTCATTAATTACGTTGCCATGTCAGCATTTTACCTACGTGGCAAGTCATTTAATGATGATAGAAACCATCATCAATACATCATTGAGACTGCCCTCACAATGCAGAAACTATGATGGTTTCTATAGATATTAATTGCACTGCCACGTAGCCAATTTGCTAATATGGCAAGTAATTTAATGAGGAGAGAGAAAAAAAAATCCAAGAAACCATGTCTAACTAATAAACTAGGTCTTCACGGTTATCGATGGACAAAAAACTACTCTAACCATGTTGGGAGAGCAAATATGGTTTCTATCACTACTTATGTCCTATGCTATAGAAAATCTTGTATTGGGAATGATAGTTTCTCGGTACAATGTCCTATACTATAGAAACTGCTAATAATTTCTTGCATTGAGCGCCCTTAGATAGATCGTTGAATATACTTTTTATAATAAGCTTATTTAGAGATATAAATATTGCACGTATTTTTCACGAAACTAGTTAAAGTTAAAAAAGTTTAACCTCCACGCATACCATAACAACTGATGGAGGGAGTATATGATCCTTCATCGCACCATTCCTTCCTTCATGTTTCTTACTTGGTTGGTTACATGTCATTCTCCCATCCAACCCATGCTAGCTGGGCCGCCGGCCTGCTATTACATACATACATGCATGGACACTGCAATCCACTAATATATACTAGCTACTGTATTATGTAATTAAGACTTGGACAAGTCTTTGATTTAGAGCATGCTCCTACTTTAATTGTCAGTACTCTTACTCTTAGTTAGGCATCTCCAACGATGCCACTTTAGCTAGCTCGTAAGGATTCGAGGTCATCATTTTGCTTATATGAAAGAGAGAAGACAGGAGAGAGAAAAGCATGTCTCTTACTCATATATCTCCTACAACTAAAAAGAACAAAGTGTGGATATTTTTTGATACGATATTTGTTTTGGTTCGTCCGTCTGCCTACGCCTGCGATCCCACGACATCTCCCGCATGCCATTCTCCTTGATTGAATATTGTCTGTCATGTGATAGAGGAATCACGGTAAAATAGGAAGTAGAAAATTATTGTGCTATCCATATACACATTGCATGTTTGCATGCACCAGCATACATGGCAACGAGCAAAAGGAAAGAGAATTAACACAGAATTTAAATTGGCCAACCTCTTTTGGTGCGATTTTTTTTGGGTCGCTCCTCCCTTTCGGTCGTGCGATACCCCGCGCGATAGAAAAAGAAACTGTCATCCCTGCGATCCCCGCCTGCTTTGAAGGAAACAAATCGATCACCTGAGCCCATATGCATGGAAGGAAATAATAATCATGCATGCAAAGAAATAATAATCATCCATGAAAACAATAATCATGCTTGGTAAAAGAATTGTTGGGGCAGTACAAAAGGCACAATCTAAATTATTCCATGGATTAACTAAATTTTAGTTAAATTTTTAGCAAATGCAGAGATAGTAAAATGAGAGTTTCTGTCTAATATTTTGGGGCTCTCTGCTGTCACTTAGAAAAAAAAATTATGTTGTCTCATAGGACAAAAATATATTCTATGATAAAAAAAACTATGCATGTGCATATTCAATACTTAGGTGTACTACATGATGGAGTTAACATGTCGGTTACAACAATTCATATGGTATTGTCCATAATTTAGAGGGTATTAAATTTAGGCTGGGTGCATAGTAGGCCACCTAGCTTTATTCTTGTAACTTCTACCTATTTATGTGTTAGTCTTTACGAATGGTATAATTTGTTCACAAAGCTCAAGCAAGACAATTGGCAAAGATCAAGCAAGACGACTCAGGTTGGCCCTTAATTTTAGTGTTTCCAACATGCAGACCTGAAATTAAAAAGTGGCTGCTCATTTAGAACATCAGTGGTGCCAACTAAAAGATGTGCAGATTATACATGATGAGACTGGTGAACCTTCTGCAATTTCCTAAACAAATATTTTCCGTATCAACACAGAATTCGATATATGCCACATTTAGTTATTACTATTAGTTCGCAAACTGAGTTAATTCAAACAAAACCTTAACTGACGTACATTATATGTACGAATGCAGCCAGTTCTCTCCTTTTATATTCAACTAGGTAGCGTGCCCGTGCGTTGCTATGGAACAACTAAATCTTTTATACTAAAAACACACGGATCGCACGATAAGATAACAATACTATTAAATTAAATACCGATGTTAAAATAACATTTAATTCAAAAAGCAAAGTTCGTGAAATTAATACAGTCACGGAGAGCGCGGCGTCGCAGGCTCACAAACTCTACTGTATAGACTTTTTCGTGATATGGTTAAGATAATATTTTATATCGACAGAAAGAATTCTCTAATATCCATTTTTTTCATTGTAATCCATTTATCTGGACAATGTTTGAGGTGAGAGCATGATTACAGTTTTTAGTAGCTTTGCGATATTGTCTGAATAAACATATACGTTTGAGGTGAGGGCACGGTTACAACTTACAAACATTGTCCAGATAAATGGATTTCAATGAAAGAAATGAATATTGGAGATTTCTTCCTGACAATATAAAATATTATCTTAGCCGCATCATGGAAAGGTCTATAAAGTAGAGTTTGTGAGCCTGCGACGCCACGCACTCCGTGACTGTGTTAAATTCACAAACTTTGCTTTTTGATTAAATGTCACTTTAACGTTGATATTTAATTTTTACAGTATTATTATTTTATCATGCGATCTATGTGTTTTTAGTATAAATTGTTAGTTATTCTGTAGCAACGCACGTACACACTACCTAGTATATATATACACGCTAGTCGAGGCTACTTATGGGACCCACTTGTTCTCTCTCCGCCTTGGTCTCCGCCCCCTCTCTCTAGCTGTGCCCTTGCATGAGACGTAAGTGACAGCTGTGTTTTTTGGGTATATTATTTTTTTAACATGGGACCCCCACTGATTTTGGACACTGTGCCAAAGATAAGCCACTGGATGACGAGTACACTTTTATACTAGCCATTGCTGATATTAACATGTCACCTAGGATTATGAGATAGCAACCGACTTAAGCAGTTGAGAATACGCATCATCACTTTGCCTCGGTTGTTGCCTAGGTCCATTAACTTTGAAAGTATGGTTTTGGATTCTTAAACACTAAAGTGATTCACTAGATGTCTATATATCCCTTCGTTTGACATGGGATATATAGACATTCAACGGCCACGGTGTGTTTTTATTTAAAAAGAAAACACTTTGGGGCTCTTTTTTTTTTGTTAAAGTGGTTTCTTCCTAGAACATTTGGCTGGTATGGTTGTGGAGGAATTTGGATGGTTTGGAGGAATTCTAGAGGAATTTATGAGAGGAAAACACCGTTCCGGATGAAAAAAGAAGCGGATCAAACCGGGTTTAAGGGCACGCGAACAGGGCCCAAATTGACCGATGAGGGTGACCTTCTCGGCTCCTTACCGGGGGGGAGAGGGAAAGAGAGAGAGGGAAAGCAGATATGATCATCGGACGGTGAGGTGTGGCCGGCGCATGACAAGGGTGAATCACTACAACACAAAAACAACTTTTTCATTAAACACGGTCAAAATCAGTTTGTGGGGCTGTTTGGCCATCTATAGAAGAAGGGAGCAGAACACCATGCAGGGAGACAAAACAACCCAAGTAAATTACCCAATCTATCCGGCTGCTACTGCGGCGGCGGCAAGAAGGAAGGAGGGGGTGGTTGAAACGTTACAGTCCACAGAACACAAGGATCAGGAATGGTCAGGCAGCAGAGGCAGGCCAACTTTGATCTGATTTATTCTCCATGGCCATGTCTTTTTTATGTATATAGTAGAAAAGATATACGGTATATCCTCCAGAAAGCTAAAGTTGAGAGAGAAGGCGATCGAATCATATATGATTCGTATATTGTTCATTCATATCCCTATGACACCACCCCCATGATGGACCAGACTCCTCCGTTCTGTCTTGTGCGACTTCGCTTCGCTTTGCTTTGCTTGCTGGACTACACGTACACCTACACCTAGTCCACTCTCAAATTATGCAATCCGATCGACTTTTAAAAAAAACAGAGAGAATATTATCATGCCATCCATCCAGCCGAAAAGACGGCAAATAAATAAAAGCAAGAATAAGAAGGTGGTCCATGCAACTGCATGCAGTGAGGCACCTTTAATTTGCACACATCAATCACATTGGACTTACAGGATATGCATTTGGGTTCTCTAAAGACAAGAAAGAAAAAAGAATATGCAGTGCACCTTCCACGCAAGGCTTTATTCTTGTACTGTATTGTAGTATATTCATTCATATCATGGAGGGAAAAGGATAAGATATGCATATGCACTTTAGTGGCACCCAGGATGAAAAAGGGTGGATGCATGATGCATCAACTACTACTGGTAGGTACTCTATGTAATGTAGCCTGCCTGCCTGCCTGCCTGTTCATAGATCACTTGCAATTCCCTCCCCCACAGGCACAGGCCACATCACATGATTGATGATGAGAGAAAAAAAAGGGGATGAAAAGAATGCATCAACCACCTTTTAGTTAGTTGATCTTGATCCCCACAGGACTGATGATTGCTTTGCCGGCTTTTGCTGCTGCTGCTTCTGGATGAATGAATCATAGTCCTAATCTGGGTGATTCGGAATGTACTAGTAGGAGTATAAATATTTTGTTCTTTATTCAGAGACAAACAGGAAGGAAAAGGAAGCTTCTTCTGAATGAAAATGTTGCTGTTCCTTATTCAGAGTACTGTACGTACCACTCTTCTCTTCTGAACCACAAAAAGGTGGCCAGCTTCTTCATGTACATACATCTACTGATCGAACTCCTCCTATCTAGGACTAGGAGTATTATGGATTTACATTTATTTATTTGTGATTCGTGGTAATAAATAGTAATTTAATAAGAAACTAAAAAACGTGCTTGTTTGCTGTCTTGCTGATGCTGCTGCAACCTGCAAGGGATCCAATTCCAATTCCAATTCCAGTTCCAGTTACACAAGGGGACGCTAGAGCAGCATGTCGGACTTGGCCGGCAGCCTCTTGTAGAAGTTGAAGGGCACCGACGGCTGCTTGCTCCGGAAGCGCGGGTGGCGCAGCAGGTAGAGCCCCAGCACCACGGCCACCACCTGGAACGGCGTCACGTAGAGCACCACGGCCACCACGAGCGAGAGCATGATGAAGATGGCCGTCGCCCTCGGGTCCCTCCAGCTGAGCAGCGCCTGCGCCCGCTCCCCCTGCGAGGCCAGGTCGCCGACCACCGTCTGCACCCGCCCGGCCACGCTGCGCAGGCGGTCGTAGCGCATCCGCACCACGTCCCCGGGCTTGCTGGTGGGGAACGTGTCGAACTCCTCGTCCAGCTCGTCCGGGTGCACCAGCCCGGACTCGGCGTGCGATAGCACCGTGTCCATGTGCGGCGGCTTGCGCGGCCGCCGCCGGTAGTTCCACACGCCGATCATGAAGAGGTAGAGAAAGACTGTGGGCAGGATCAGCTCCGGGTAGCACACCAGGATGAGGAACAGCACGTGCACCAGGATGGTCGTCAGCGGGTTCTTCCACTTGCAGATGCCGTCCATCCACTTGGCCACGGCCACGACGCCCGAGAAGAGGGAGGTGATGCGGTTGAAGTTGGCCTTGCTCCGCCGCAGGCTGAACATGTGCGAGTCCACGTCCAGCATGTACTCCACCACCTCCCGCCGCAGCGGCGGCTCGGCGCGCCCCAGCCGCGCCGCCACCATCTGCATGGCCTGGAACCGGAGGTAGTCCAGCTGCAGCACCGAGATGGGGTGGCTGTAGTGCATCTTGGGCAGCAGCGGCTTGGCGTACATGCCCAGCATGTTGGCCCACGCCGTGCAGGTGAAGCGCACCGCCAGGTGCAGCTCCCCGGTCTTCTTCAGCCCGCCCGGGGTGAGCGTCATCAGCGGGTAGATGTGGGTGTAGACGCGGTCGATCTCCAGCGTCGACAGCCGCACGCGCACCTTGCCGATCCGCTGGTCCTTGCTGCCCTCGCCGCCACCGAGGACGTACCCGTTGTCGAACACGGCGACGGTGACGATGGTGCAGGGGTCGAACACCTCCCACGTGTACTGCTCGTTCCACTGCGGCGCCAGCGTGTTGAGCACCGTCCGGGTGCGCACCCACTTGGACCCGTACTTGGCCACGCAGTAGGGGTCCGTCAGCCGCCCTTCCTTGGCCTTCATGGGCACCAGGTTCCGGGCGCTCAGGATGCCCAGCTCCAGGATGCCGATGGACGACTTGCGCAGCTTCTTCGCCGACGGCTGCAGGTCGCTGCTGTAGTGCGTCGACTCGTCCAGCACGTGGTACGCTGTCTCCAGGCTCAGCCGCAGGTGGATCTTGCTCGAGAAGGTCGTCTTCTCCGCCAGGGCCTTGGCGGCGGTGACGCCCGCCGCGGCCTCGTCCGCCGTCAGCGCGCGCGAAAGGTTGAACCACTTGGATTCCACCGACTTGGCCAGGTCGTTGCGGTACACGTACGGCGAGATCACGGGGATGATCACCCGGCCCACGGGCTCGTCGCGCCCCGCCGCCACGCGCTCCTCCACCGTCACCACCAGCGGCTCGTCGAACGGCTCGCCGGCCACGAACATGAACTCCTCGTTCCACACGGGGTTGGTGGAGCCCTGCGGCTGCCCCGGCCGCGTCCGACGGACCTGCCACCCGAGCTGGATCTTGGCGATGGTGGGCGCCAGGGGCCGGCCCTTCTCTGAGCCGGCGGGGTACACGTCCTGCGCCGCGATGGCCACCACCTTGAGGTAGGCGAGCTTGGGCGAGTAGTAGACCTTGGACCTGGTGTTGGAGAGGCCCTCGAAGGGCAGCGAGTGCGCGTCCGAGTGCCACGCCTCCGGGAACGCCTCGTCGGCCTGCGTGCCGATCCACACGGCGAGCATGATCTCGCCGTGCCGCACCTTCTCGCCGTGCCGGTCGGCGAGGCGGTACCACTGCGGCGCGAGCGGGCTGTCGGGGGGCAGCCGCTTAGGGATGTCGGTCATGTCGAAGAGGACGCGGCCGACGAAGTCGTCCTTGATCATGTCCTTGTCCTTGACGACCACCTCCAGCTGGTTGGACTGCAGGTGCTCCTGGGAGAAGGCGAAGGTCTGGCGCCACACCGGGTTGGGGTTCTTGTCCAGGTGCTTGGTGACGCCCTTGAAGTTGCCGAGCTTCACCTCCACGTAGGGGTCCAGCGCACCGGTGACGTCCATGTTGGGGAGGTCGCGCGCCTTCACCACGCTCACGTACAGGTACGCCATCGGCTCCACCATGTCGTACGTGGACGCGATCTTGGCGGCGGCGGCGGCGGCGGCGCGCGGGCCCATCTTGGCCGGCAGAGGAGGCTTGGTCTCGACCAGGCCGAAGGCGGGGCCGGGAGGGGCGGCGGCAGTGGGTTTGGGCATGACGACCGTCTGGCCGGGCGGAGGAGGAGGCGCGGCCACGGCGTGGAGAGTGCGGCGAGGCTGCTGGTCGGCTCCTCCGCCACCTCCTCCTCCTCCCGAGGCTGGCACGGAGCGGAAGATGCGAGGAGGCCGTGCCTCGTGCTCATCCCCTGCTGGGCCTCCGCCGCTCTTCCCCTGCCCCTGGGCTTCTGACTGCTCCACCGGCGGCGGCTGCTGTGGTGCGAAGGCGGACCTGACGATCCTTTCGGGGTCTCCGCTGGCGGCGGCGGCGGCGACGGACTCCTGTTGCTGGTTGGGAGCAGCAGAAACAGGTACGGTTTCATTGACATCCCCGACGAGGTAGATCCTGAGCGCGATGTCTCCCGAGACGCGTGAGAAGAGCCCCCGCTTCTCGAGCGGGTACCTCTGCAGGACGGCCTCCTCTGGCGACGGCGCGACGGAGGCGCCGTTGATGCGGACGCGGCCCAGGAAGGTGTGCGGGCGGAGTGCGTTGTGGTCCTGGAGGCGTCGGTCGTGGAAGACGGAGACGTCGACGGGGAGGGAGGGGAAGCGCGCGGGGTCGCGGACGTCGAAGACCAGCGTCTGGTTCCAGTACGGGGAGCGGTCGGCGGGCTTGGTGGCGGTGCGCTGGCGCTGGTCGTCGAAGTCGACCTCGACGTAGGGGTTGCAGGAGGCGGCGCCATCCTTGGGGGCGAGGTCGGCGGCGTCGGAGATCTCGACGACGAGCTTCATGGCTGGCTGCTGGCCGGTGCCTACCAGTACCAACAACCGGCGGGTATGGTATGGGGTTGGTTGGGTTGATCAATACGTATAATCGGAATGAATTTGGGATGGGAATTGGTGGAGGGACGGTTGGTGGTGCGTGCCTGGATCGATGAGATGAGATGATCTATGGTGGTGGGTGGTGCGGGACGGTTAGCTAGCTAGAGGAAGAGGAATAGAGGAGGATCATATGGAGCTAGCCTGCTGGGGATCGACTGATGATGATCACCGTACACGCCATGCTTGACGATATTCTTCATCCGCTGCGGCCTGCTGGCTGGTGGTGGCGAAGGACAAGAAGCGGAGGAGAGAGGAGTGGAATGGAAGAGGCGCGCGGCCGCGTCGTGCGTGACGAAGACGATGGGCGTCGATTCGCGTGGCGTCCCACCACGACTCCACTTCACTCACGACCTTTGCTGGAGCGGTCTCTCTGTTAAGAGGACGACTGCGACTCGCAACCTTCCCCGTCCGTCCGTCGGTCGGTCGGTCGGCCGTTGGCGTTGCCTTCTCTTCTCTTCTCTTCGCTTCTGTGCAGCAGTGTAGGTGCAGGCACAGCACGGGCAGTCTGCTGCTGTCGGTGTGCTTGCTTGCTCTACCTGTATGTTATGTACGCTCATCAGCAGGCACAAAAATTATGGACGTGTTTAGAATGGGGTTAGGAATCAGTATTTGACATTGTAGTATTTTCGTTTATATTTGATAATTATTGTTCAATCATGGTCTAACTAGGTTCAAAAGATTCATCTCGTAATTTACAATCAAACTGTGTAATTAATTATTTTTTTATCTACATTTAATACTCCATGTATATATTCAAAGATTTGATGTGATAAAAAAAAAGTGAAAAAACTTACTATCTAAACAAGACCTATGTTAGTTGTCGTCTTGAGCTCCTGTCACTGTCAGCTGGGCACCATACCATCACCACTGCAGCTGCTCCGTCGGCGCCGCCTCCATGTATATTTATATTTTATATACTAGTGTATATTAGTGTACATGTACTTGATGGATTGGTGGAGGCAATCTAGCCAGAAATATGTCCACGATAGTAGATAAATCGGTGAAAGTGTACAATCGGAACCGAACGGTGACACATAACACAGAGATAATGATTTAGACAAGTTTAGACCGTCAGCTTAACGTAATACCTGTTGGATACCACAAGAAGGGGTACCCTTAGTAAGAACCGAAAATATTGCTTAAGCCTTGCAAAAATCAAAGCCAAAGGACAACCACGAGGTCTCGGTCGATTCTCTGATTCGCCCGAGGCTTGCGCCGAGGTCTCAGACGAAAGACCAAAACTCTCCGCCCCGCTGAGACCCTCTCGCCGAGGCCCCCTCGCTGAGGCCCCGCCCCACAAGGCCTCGAACGGGATACCAATTCTCCGATTCGCCCGAGGCTGGACTCGGCAACAACCTCGTCACCTCCGTCCCGACCAACCCACCTGACAAAACGTCACGTCCAGTTAATGCGCCCAACTACTCCCATAGCGTCGGCCCTTGACGTTGGCGCGATATAAGCGAGTGACCGAGCGGGACGAGGGGACGGAGCGCAGCAGAGGTTACGCCATTTGTGCTCATCACTGTGCCCCCTGCTGACACCCGTACTTCCCCGTGCTACCAACTCCTGCGCCAAGGACAAAGCGGCGTGAAGGGTCAAGTCTGGGTCCCTGTAGTCTCGAAATCAGCACAAAAGACCAAGCTGCTCGTCCTCCGCCTCGTCGAGAGACCCCGTGAGAATTCCGGACGTACTATTCTTCTCGCCTCGGCCGAGGCGGCTCAAATCCCGCATCCTCATCGCCTTCACCTCAGCCGTCCCTCGGCGAGCCGCCCCATCCGTTTAAGCGCGCTGGTCACACCTACTATGTCACCACGACTAGCAGGTACAACAACGAGGCGATGGGACACGATGGCCAAATCTCCTTTTACCATCCCTCATCGACGGCAGTGCGGGGTTACTGGTGCCACAATGGACACACACTCACTTTTCCACCTAAATCAGATGCACGACGGCGACCACCAAGACCCCGCATCATACGGGTTGTAACACCTCGGTGTTAAGCATGCATTAGCATTTTGTAAATCATGAGCATAATCATTTATTTGCATGCATACGCATGACATGAAATATAGAATGGAAACGTACTATTGAAACATGTATGTTGCATAGTTTTGTTTTGATAGATTGGATGCTCTGTTTGTTTTGCCATGTGTGTACCTTGGTTGATCACTTAGACCAATTAGAAGTAGCTAAGATGCAATTTGGATAAAGGTGTTTATTCAAAGTTTTCTCAAATTTTGCTTTTAAAAATAACCTTCTGAAATCGGGTTTTTTATTTTAATTAACTTTCAATCTATAGTTCAAAATTTAATTGGATTTTGGCCATACTCTTTTTGGCAAAGTTGTAGAGTACTTTTTTCTGAACAACTTTTATTTTTACACCAACTTGTGAAAATACTTTTAAAATGGCTCAAAATAGAATTTTAGTTCTGTTTATTAAGAAATAAAAAGAAAAATCCTTTTATTTACCTTAGCGGGCCGCCGCTTCCTTTTCGACCCAATGAGCAGCCAGCCGGCCTCGCCTCCGCCTCAGCGCCGCATTGTCCGCTCCGTCGCCTGCGCCAAACCAACCCATGAGCTCGGCGGCGCGTGTCCGTAAGCCATCGTCGTCGCTCACCAGCGTGACACCGGTGGCCCAGCGCGCCCTCTGTCGTGCCTACACACCCACCGCGCGTCTGCTCCCCTCTCCTCCATCTCATTTGCTTCTCGCTCGGACGGCCAGAAGAAGCAGCGCCAGCCTCGCCTCCGCCTCCGCCGCCTTCTTGCAGCGCCTCGCACCGGAGTTGGCCGTTCAGCCAGCTCCGGCTCGCCGTCGACTACCCCATCTCGCCCGTGCTCGCCTCCACCTCGCAGACCCCATGCTCGCCTCGGTAAGCTGGGGAGCTCCCCTTCTCGCCAATCGCTCATCGGAGTGAGCTCCTCCTCGCCGGAATGCTGCGCTCCCTAGGCCTCGCCTCTCCGCCTCACCTCTCTCCCTCTTTCCAGCATCAAGACTTTGACACCTTGTGTGTGAGAGCTTCTGACACTCCTCGCACCACCTCTCAAAGTTGGTCGGGCCGACGTTGAGCCAGCGCCACCTGGCGCCGCCATGGACGTGGTGAGCTTGCTCCCGAGCTCCAGCAGCCACAGTGGGGGTACTGATTAGAGTCCGCCTTGTCTCGGGGAAGCCTCGGTGGTGACCTCACCCGCCAAGCAAGTTCACCGTGGCCGAGAACGCCATGACCAAGCGCGCCTCCCTGCCTTAGTGACTAACTGGTGGGGCTAGGGGAGCCATTGTCAGTCGCTGGGGTGCAAGCCTGGGTAGAGATTCGGGTGGATCTAGCAATTTCGAACATGGATTTTTAGAATGAAATTAAGAAATGATTTACAGATTTTGTTTAAAGGCTTTGAAAATTTATAACTTGCTCAAAATGGCTTCAAATTTGTTGAAATAAGTTTTGCTAGGTTTCTTGTGACTAGATCTATCTGCTAAAAATATTGCATGTCAAATTTGTGATACTTTTCTGTGTAGTTTTATTTAAATTGAATAAATGCTGATTTCTTAGAAAATGTCTAGTAAATAGAATATACATCAGAAAAATGTGGTTCTAGTTTTGTTAATCTCCTTTAGTGATGTGCTTTGTAGGAAAAATATATGTCATGCATGTTCTGTAGAGAAATATTGATGTGTAGTTCAAGTGCCTTTAATTGATGATTTTTGTTATTTTGATAGAGAGCAAAAATTGTATAAAACATGTATATGATAATTTTTGTGCAGTGATTGTTTACTGTGTAGAACATAGGAAAAATACCAAATATGTAGTTTGACACTTTTCATAGTACAAAGTATTTTCATGCTTAATTATGAACCATAGCTTGTCATTTTTGTGTAGGCTATTTTACTTATCCAAATGCCATGAAAATTTTATGGCAGTCTACTTAGAGTAGTACTATACTACTGTAATTTTCTTAGATTTTTATGAGCAATAGAAATATATGTTGCTGTGTAGCCCTAGTTTAAAATGAAATAAAATAATCTTCTTTAATGCATGTTTAGTTAATAATGTTTGCTTTGGTGTATCTTTGAAGCATCTTAACTTGCTGTGGTGATTTGACATGTTAGTATAATGGTTGTCGTAGTAGATAGTAGTACATGTTCTTGGATGATGTCGACTACCTTGTAGACGAGCTTTGCTACTACTATGTTCAATAAAGTTAAACATGGTCATCTACATTTCATGCATCATGATCATTACATGTCATCTCTCCGATGCACCTATGCATTAGCACTTATACATCTGCATCATACTGATGATCGCAGGAGGAGTTGCTAGTAGCGATTCAGGAAAAAAGAGATGGGGACGAGATCCACAGAAGTCCAGGCACAAAAGGTGCCAGAGGAAGAGGAGCCAGGAGAGGACTTGCCTGAGTGCGTGGATCATCAGCCTAGTTCGTTCAAACGAGGCAAGCCCCGGAGCATTATAAGTCTCCTGCTTTATAAAAGCAATTCTTTCTATATATATGAGTTTATATATTGTTGCATTAAGTTGTAGGAGTTGATTGAAACCGTTGATGCATTTATTACTATCCTTGCCTACCTTGTTACCTTTTACCCTGTTAGGTCAGGATCGAATAACTGCTTAGCCTTGCTTGGACCGGTAGCGATCGGTGATATCCGGTCACCTACATTATAGGTGATTACTGGAAGAATTTAGCTATGGAAAGAATGATATCCTAGAATTAACCATGTGTGATGGATAATTGGTGGCCCGGACGGAAAAAGTTGGAGCAACTAGGCGAGGTTACAGGGTCTTTGTTAGTTTCCGTCTGTAATCGATTAAGGACCGATCGTTGCTCGTCCCTCTTGTCATGTTGAACGCATGCCTCACATTTAGCTAGCCGACTAAAGTACCTTTTCATTCATGAAGCTA